GTTTTTCCCCTGCTCCAGCTAGTGACTGATCTAATCCCTGCTCTACCTGCCAGTTGTTAAAAGGAAACATCTGCCCTCGTGATGGTCATTAATCTGAGGGGCTGTGAGGGTCGTACTCCAGCTTGTTTCCCGGGTAACTGATGAGCCAACCTGACGTCAATTCCCCCTGTAAATGGTAGCCTCTTTCTCCGCCAAGTAGCGAAGATTGCTGTCATGTCCTTCCTGCCGTCTGCGGAATATGGTAGGATGTCACTCCAGGACCTTTTGTTTCAGACATGTAACATCCCCTATCTCTCTATTGCTGACTCCGAGCTCTTTCTTCAGTCTTGAGGCTGGGCAATTACAAGGCTTTCAGGCCTGAGAGGTGTAGCCCAACAGCCATATTCTATTGGTAAGAAGCAAGTCACTAGGCCCAGTTCACATTCAAGGGGGGCAAATTACACAGGAGAAGTGGTAACATGTGCGTTTAGAGAGGAGAGACCCTGCTTTAAGTCTTCAGACAAAGCTGGGGACTCCAGCCCCATCTGCTTGAGACCCTGTGTTGAGGTCCTGCTGGAACCGTCCAGTGGTGTTCCCTCATCTCTGTCCCTCACACGTCTCCTTCAGGAAATCAGTTACAGGAGTAACTGGCAGTCTCCCTGGCCAAATACCATCTACCAGCACCCCAGCCCCTCTCGTAATCCCATCAGAGGGAAACTCTTATTTCCCTTTTTGTAAAGTCCAAGTAGTTTCCCACCCTGGAAAGCTCTTCCCTCTCTCAAGATCGTATTCAAGCCCATCTCTTCTGTGAAGCCTTCTTAGAATCAACTGAAAAGATGGAAAGAGATGTTTCTTTGGAAATATAATTGCCTGAAGGTAAAAGAAGTCTGCAGGAAAGAAAACAAGCTAACCAGCTGGAGGGCAGACCGAGGGACGGGATAGATAGGGTGGCAACTATTGGTTATGAACTTTCTCTTCTCCTTAGCAGAGAACCTCCCAGGCGGGAGACAGATGCATCTACATGCTGAGTACACGTTGATTTTTTGTTTGTTTTGCTTTCTTCAGCCACGCTGTGCAGCTTGCGGGATCTTAGTTCCCCGACCAGGGACTGAACCCGGGCCATGGCAGTGAAAGCGCCACATCCTAACCACTGGACTGCCAGGGAATTCCATAGTGCTTGTTGCTTGATGCCACCTGTGGTGGTTTTTAAATGGTCACAAATTGACACTCTCCTCTTGGAAAGGTAGAGCCTAATTCCCCTTGTCTTGAATGTGGACTGGACCTAGTGACTCACGTCTAACAAATAGAATGTGGGGGAAGTGATAATGTATGACTTCTGAAGTTAGGTCAGAAAAGGTACAGCAGCTTTTGCCCTGCTCTCTCTTGGATGATTCACTCTAGGAGAAGCCAGCTACTATGTCACAAGTACGCTCAACTATCCCTGTGAAGATGCCTATATGTAGAAAGCCTGAGGCTTCCTGCCAGCTGCCAGCACCAACTTGCCGGCCACATGAGTGTGCCATCTTGGAAGTGATCCTCCAGCCCCAGTCGAGTCTCCAGATGACTGCAATCCTGGCCAGTATAGCTTGACTGCAAGCACAACTTGACTGAATCAGAACCACCATGCCAAGACGCTCCCGAATTCCTATGAGAGAGAACAAGTGCTCATTGATGTTTTAAACTGTTAAGAGGAAAGGAGCTGGAGAGACATGGCAGGAGGAAAAGTTTTCTGCTTCCCTGTTCTAGTGTGCTTGATTGGCAGGCTCCTGCAGTGCAAACAGCTTCGCCAGTGCCCAGCTCCTGGAGTGGCCAGCAACATCCAGCAGCCAGCAGATCCTCCTGGCACTACCCCTCGGGCAGCAGTGTCAGCAGAGTGCCCCCACCTCCTGCAGCTTCTCCAGCATCTAGCACCTGCTGTGCATGTGGCTTCTCCGGCAAGGATGCTCCTGCAGCACTCACGGTTTCTCCAGCCCCAGGATCCTGCAGTACGTGGAAGCTCCTGTACCCTGCTCAGGTGGTTTTGTCGTGGAGTGCCTTTGGCTCAACACCTCCCCATGAAGAACTTTCCCTGGCATCTAAGAAGGCAGATTTCTGCACGTTCCACTGGTATGACGCTGCAGCGACTTTTCTGCCATACAGCGAGCCACAGGCTGTGTTCTCCTCAACAAAGCCTGGATTTCAGCCTTGAGGTGGGGGGTGGATATCTCTTCCCTGGCAGCTCTGTTTCAGCCTCAGTCCTGGGGGTAAGGAAGGGCTGCTTCTATGTCTGCTATTCAACTGCTGGAGTTCTCTTTACTCCTTACTAACCAATTCTTCATTATTTACAACAGGGGATTGAAGTAAAAATTATTTTTAAATCTCCCTCTTCAAATTACTGTGTGGTTTCTCTCTCTTGATTGGACCCAGACTGATACACTAAGTTTTGTCAGAATTTGTTACACAGCCACCAATAACCAATATACCCCTCGCCGTCTCATTGTCCACTGCCGGCTCTCCTTTCATTATCATCAGACAATTGTTATCACGTGCCTGTCCAGAGCAGGCTCTTCCTTCAAGGCTTTTATTAGCAGTCAGATAGGACCTGCTGCAAAAAGAACAAAGTTTATAAAACCCAAGCTTTCATTTGCTAAATGCCAAATGAGAGGCTCAGATGAGAAGTGCTGCCGGAAGTGCCAAAGCTGGTATAGTTGAAGAAAACTCTAGACCACAGCAGGGCATGGGGGCACAGCCCAGGGGAAAAGAGAAAGAAGGGTCCTGTAAGGCAGGGAGAAGTTCGTATCAAAACCTCGGGGGCAAGACCAAACATGGTAGGATTAGGACAGCCGTGACTTGTTTGCTCTAGTTTGGTTGGAGCAGAGTGTTGAACTGCTAGGTTAGTGGCCGACAAGATGAACAGATGGTGAAGGGCCTTAAATGCAAAGTGAATTCATTTGGTGCTATTATGTGAAAAAAGGGCTCCAGTGACCATGCCTTCCAGGACAAAATCCTATTTGCTTTTGATGTAGTTACTCTTTTTTTTTTTTGCGGTACACGGGCCTCTCACTGTTGTGGCCTCTCCCGTTGCAGAGCACAGGCTCCAGACGTGCAGGCCCAGCGGCCATGGCTTACGGGCCCAGCCACTCCGTGGCATGTGGGATCTTCCCAGACCGGGGCATGAACCTGTGTCCCCTGCATCGGCAGGAGGACTCTCAACCACTGCGCCACCAGGGAAGCCCTGATGTAGTTACTCTTATACTTGTCAGATCGTGTGACCTAGATTTGGGGCTGAGAAAAGTTCACTTTGGCAGTGGGGAAACTATGAAGATTTTTGAGGATGGTGCAATGTGGGGTTCTTTTTTTTTTTTTTTTTAATTTTTTGGCCGCGCCGTGAGGCACGCAGGATCTTAGTTTCCTGACCAGGGATCAAACCCGCGACCCCTGCAGTGGAAGTGCTGAGACTTTTTTTTAATTTTTATTTATTTATTTATGGCTGCGTTGGGTCTTTGCTGTGCACAGGCTTTCTCTAGCTGTGGCGAGCGGGGGGCTACTCTTCTTTGCAGTGCACGGGCTTCTCATTGCAGTGGCTTCTCTTATTGTGGAGCACAAGCTCTAGGTGCGTGGGCTTCAGTAGTTGTGGTACGTGAGCTCAGTAGTTGTGGCTCGTGGGCTCCAGAGTGCAGGCTCAGTAGTTGTGGTGCATGGGCTTAGTTGCTCCATGGCATGTGGGATCTTACCAGACCAGGGATCGAAACTGTGCCCCCTGCATTGGCAGGCGGATTATTAACCACTGCGCCAACAGAGAAGTCCCAAAGTGCTGAGTCTTAACCAGTGGACAGCCAGGGAAGTCCCAGTGTGGGGTTCTAAGATTATTTTTTAGCATGTAGGGCTGAAGAGGATGGAGAACAGAAGTAGGAGAATGACTTCCCAAAAGTCCTGCCATGGGGGATAGTGTAGCTGTGGGAATTGGAGGACTGGGTGGATGTGGTAGGGAGGAGAAGTTAAGGTGACTCCCCATACCTTGCTGGTGACGTGGGAACATGGATAGCTTGTGGAGGGGTGGGTAGGATGATGTTGGCTTTTGACAAGTTCCATTGGGTGACTGCATTGTATCCAAGTAGCAGGAAGGAGTAGCCCCAGTCCTGAGCTCAGGAGAAAGCTGAGAGCTGATGATTCAGATCCAGTAGTGACTGTCCACTCAGAGGCGACAAATCAAACTCTGGGAAATAGTGATCAGGATCCCTTAGTAAGAACTGGCTCTCTGATCAGCACATCCTAACCAACACCCCTCCACCCACCATCCACCCACTCAAGTGATGGGGTCCTGGGTCAGGGATACAGTAGGGACAGATTTCCTTGTAGTTCAGTCCTAAACTGGCCCCTAAAATCTGGAAGCACTGAGGTCTTTCTCAACTGCCACAGATTCTGGCTTAGAATCTATGGTCCACTCCCACAGGGCTTGAGCCAAGGACTATGAAAGTAAAAAGCCCAGTAAAAATTAGGAGGTTCCAATCCTACTTCTGCCCCAGACCAGTCATGTGACCTTGGGCAAGTCACTTTTCCTGCCCCTCTACCCCCAACTGACCTGCCAGGAGCATGTAGTGTGAAAAAGAAATAACTCTGGTCATCTACTAAGATTTGGAGGTTATTGTTACTGTGGCGTAGCCCAGCCCATCTTGAGTAATCCAGTGCTATATACTGTCCCCTGTTGATTATCTTTGGCCTTAGTCCCCAAACCTGCCTTCTCCCTGAAACTCCCTGAAAGCACTGGCTCCCCATTCAAATTTAAAAGCAGCAAGAGAGGGGGAGGGATAAATTGGATTGGGATTGGCATATATATACACACTAGTATATATAAAATAGATAATTAAAAGAACCTACTGTATAGCACTGTATAGCATAGTATTCTGTAATGACCTATATGGAAATAGAATCTAAAAAAGAGCAGGTATATGTATAACTGATTCACTTTGCTGTACAGCAGAAACTAACAGAAAATTATAAATCAGCTATGCTCCAATAAAAATTATCACTCAACAAAATAAATAAAAGCAGCAAGAGAAGGGAGTCTGTCCTCTAAACAGGGAATGCATTTGGGGAGACAGGCCCACACTTTGACAGGAAGTTATGCTGGCTGAAATCTACACCCACCCTGGAAGGCCCTGGACAGACACTGCCCCTCAAGCTTCTCTCCCATACTCATTTATTGGCTCTCCATAATTTTATTCCGCATTACTAAAGCAGGAATGACTGGGCGGGCAGGAGGGCCAGACTCCCACATCCTGGGGGCACTGCAGGCTGACTATGACTTTGCAGGCCTGGATCTGAACATCCTCCTCGGGGTGGATGACCAGGGCAAGCAGCCGGTCTGCCAGTCGTGAGTCATCCCCAAAGACAGCTTCGTGCACAGACTGTTCATTGTAATGCCACTTCACAGCACGGTAGTGGGGTGAACTCCGGCCCTCACTCAGCCGCTCTGCAAACAGCAGTACTTCAAGCAGCAGACTCCCAGGCTGTGTGGACTGGAACAGGTTCAGGAAGTTGGAGTGTACCTGTGAGTGGGATGGAGAGAGGAATGAAGTCCAAGGTAAATTCTCAAGTTCCTCCATCCTCCTATTGCCTCAACTCCCCAATATACCTAAGTTTCAGATCCAACTGTATAGGAAGTTTTTAGTTTTCATTATCATTCTTTAACATAATTTCATTGTGGTCATAAAACATGAGTGATATGATAATATTGATTCAGGGAAATTTGTTGAGATAAACTTCTAAAGCTTAGCATGTGGTTACTTTTTGTAAATATTTTGTGTACTTGAGCAGAATGTGCATTTACTAATTGTAGAGTGTTCTGGATATGTCTAATGGCTCAAGCTTATTTGTGTTATTTTCAGCAAGTAGAACCTTACTAGGTTTAGGTATTTATGTATTAATTTCTGAAAGAAGAGTTAAAATCTTCCAAATCTTCCACTGTGGTGATAGGTATGTCCATTTTTCTTTCCAATTATTCAGCTGTAGGAATGAAATCCTGCCATTTGTGACAATATGGATGGACCCAGAGGACATTATGCTAAGTGAGATAAGCCAGAAAGAGAAATACAAATACTGCATGGTATCACTTAAATGTGGAAGTTTTAAGTCAAACTCACAGAAACAGTAGAAAAGTGGTTGCCAGGGGTTGGGGTGGGGTGTGGGGGAAATAGGGAGAGGTTGGTAAAAGGGTACATACTTTCAGCTAAAAGATGAATAAGATCCAAGGGTCTAATGCAAACATGGTGAGTACTGTTGATAACACTATTATATAATTGAAATTTGCTAAGAGAGTAGAATTTAAATGTTCTCACCAAAAACAAACAAAATGTGAGGTGACGGATGTGTTAATTAACTAGATGGTGGGAATCTTTTCACAACGTATACCAAGTCACCACAACATACACTTTTTTTTTAGTATAATTAAGTTTTATATATATATATTTAGTTTTTATTGGGGTATAGTTGATTTACTACATATGCTTTAAATATCTTACAAATTTATCTGTCAATTATACCTCAATAAAACTGAAAAAACGATTTCCTTATAATTCTATCAAGTTTTGCCATATACATATTTTGAGATTGTTACTAAGTTCATATAAGTTTAGAGTTGCTTTATCCTTCTGAACTATTATTATGTAGTGACCCTGTCTATTCCTAATAATTATTTTTGTTATAAGTAATTTTCCCCTAATGTTAAAATACCTACATTAACTTCTGTCACCTGTGTTCCTGACGCTCAGAGTGCAGAAAGTCCCTCAAAGGAAAATCTGATTGTATTGGGAGGACAGAAGAGGGGGTGCTTTGCAATGTATCTAGTGCAGAGGCAGAAAGGGGAACAAGATGATTTTGTGAGGGCTAAGTCTGTCTGAAGAATCCACGATTCTTCCTTTCACAGTATCTGAGTTCACATCCATTAGCCCGTCTTTCAGTTCTTTTCTCACCTGGCAGTTGAGAATATCGTAGAGAAGGTCGTTCTTCTGCGCCAGGTTGCTCAGCAATCGCGCGGCTTGCACCTGAATAAAGGAAAGGGTAAAGAATGAGAATACAGGTGGGCCTGAGCAGGGAAGACACAAATCTCAGCTCCTCCCTCTAGGTGCTGTGCCAGGGCTGGTCAGGAGGGCAGGGCCTGGGCTCTGGTCCTCAGGCACCTGTGCCAGGGTGTAGTCTGACTGCAGGATCTCCATCAAGGCAGGCATCACCCGTCGCAGCTGTGGATGTGCAAAGTCAGGCAGTGGGAGGTTGTTGAGGAGTCTGAGGCCTGCAATGTGCAGCTGCGAGTCCCAGATGGTGGAGATCAGTTCCAGCACCTTGATGGAGTGTTCCTAGGGAGCGGGGAGAAGAGAAGGGTTTTCTACTTTTATATGATAATCCTCAACATTAGCCCTGCCTCTGCCTTCACTCTTCACTGCCCCCGCCCACAAAAACTGAGCCAACCCCACACACAGTTCCCCACTTTAACTCTCAACGTTATTTGACCTAGTTGACCCCTCTCACCCCCTTGAAACTCTTTCTTCACTTGGCTTCTCCGTCACGTTTCTTTCCCAGTTCTTCTGCCCAACCGCCTCCTCTGTCTTCATCGCTCCCTTAGTGATACAGTGTTAAAGACTCACAGACTCAGTGTTAAAAATTATCCATATGCTGATGACTTTCAAGTTTCTATCTCCAGCCCAGACCTCTCCCTAAACCCCAGACTCATATATGCAAGTGCCAGTTCCACTTCTGAGACTCTTACTAAACCTCTGAGTCAACACATTCCCACTCCCAAACCTGCTCCTTCCACTACCCTTCCTATCTCAGCTGTTGGTTACACCTGCCTTCCAATTACTCAGACCAAAAGTCTATGTTCTTCCTTGACTCTTCTTTCCCTCACACCCTTGTCCAATCTTTCAGAAAATCCTGTTGGCTCTACCTTCAAAATCTACCAACAATCAAGGCACTTCTCACCATCCCCCTCTACCACCCTGTTCCAAGCCACCATCACCTCTCCCCCGGGCTTCTGCGATAGCCTCCTTCTCCCTGCTTCCATCCTTGTCCCCTGCATCTATTCTCAGAACAGCAGATAGGCTGGACTGCTCGAGTCCCTAGTTCATTCAGGGTAGGAGCTAAAGTCCTTACAGTGGCTTACAAGGTCTGACATGATCTGTCCCTCTCCCCCCATTATTTCTTTGGCCTCATCTCCTATTCTCTCCTTTGCTCCCATGGTTTCCATCACAATGGCCTTAGCTATTTCCTGAACATGCCAAGTACACACCTATCTTAGGTCTTTGCACATGGTGTTCCCTCTGCTTAGAATGCTCTCCCTTCTCAGCTATTCACAGCTCACTCTTACTTCCTTCAAGACTTTGCTTTAATGTCACCTTCTCAGGGAGGTCTTCCCTAACCACCCGCTCCTTTAAGACGGCAACACCACTCCCATCCCTGCCTCCCTTATCCCCACCTTTATTTTTCCCCCATAGCACTGTCAATATGCACACACTTTTTGTTTTTAAACTTTTTATTTTCAAATAATTATAAATTCATGGGAAGTTGCAAGGACAGTACAGAGAGGTCCCATGTGCCCTCCACCCAGTTTCCCTCAATAGCTACATCTTAATTACTGTATATTTTCAAAACCAGGAAAATGGTATTAGCACAATGTGTACGTATAGTTCCATGTCATTTTATCACATATGTAGCTTCATGTAACCACCACTGCAATTAATAGATTATTCCATCAGAATCACCATAGATCTCCCTTGTGGGTCCCTTATTAGTCACACTTAGCCCTGCCCATCAAAACCAGCCCTAACCAGCGGCAACCACTAATCTGTTTTCCATCTCTCTAATTTTGTCCTTTTTTTTTTTTTTTTTTGCGGTACGCGGGCCTCTCACTGTTGTGGCCTCTCCCGTTGCGGAGCACAGGCTCCGGACGTGCAGGCTCAGTGGCCATGGCTCACGGGCCCAGCCGCTCCATGGCATGTGGGATCTTCCCAGACCGGGGCACGAACCCGTGTCCCCTGCATTGGCAGGCGGACTCTCAACCACTGCGCCACCAGGGAAGCCCTAATTTTGTCATTTTTGAGAATGTTATATAAAATGGAATCACATTTTGTAACCTTCTGAAATTGATTTTTTCACTCAGTATAATGCCCTTGAGATCCATCCAAGTGGTCGTGTGTATCAATAGTTCATTCCTTTTTATTACTGAGTAATGTTCCATGGTATGGACTACCAGTTTGTTTAATCATTTATCTCCTGAGAGACATTTTGGTTTCCAGTTTTTGACCATTACAAACAAAGCTGCTACGAACAACTGTGAACAGGTTTTTTGGCAGATGTAGGTTTTTATTTCTCCAGGATAAATGCCCAAGAGTGCAATTGCTGGTTTGTATGGGAAAAGAGTTCGTTAAAGAAACCGCCAAACTATTTTGCAGAGTGGCTGCTCTATCATTTTACATTCCCACCAGCAACATACGTGAGATCCAGTTTCTCTACATCTTCACCAGCATTTGGTATTGTCACTAATTTGGAGTTTAAATCATCTAGTAGGTGTATAGTAATATCTCATTGTGGTACTAATTCGCATTCCCCTAATGGCTAGTTAAATGTTAAACATTTTTTATGTGCTTATTTGCAATTCGTATATCCTCTTCAGTGAAATATCTCCATGTCTTGTGCCCATTTTCTAAATGGATTATTATTGTTTTTGACGTTGAGTTTGGGGAGTCCTTTACATAATCTAGATGTGAGTCCTTTGTCAGATAATGTGGTTTGCAAATATTTTCTTCCAATCTGCAGTTTGTCTTTTCATCTTCTTAACAGGGTCTTTCACAAAGCAAATGTTTTTTTTAATTTTGATAAAGTCCAATTTATCAATTTTTTTCTTTTATAGATTGTGCTTTTGGTGTCATTTCCATGACCTCTTTATCAAGCCCTAGGTCCCAAGGATTTTCTCCTTTGAAATTGCAACAGCATCCCCTTGCAACACCACCCCCATGCCAGTCTTCCTTACCACCCTTCTTGATTTTTCTCCATAGCACTTGCCCCGTGAAACACCATGTATTTCACTTATTTGTGTATTGCCTGCCTTGCAGGCAATATAAGCTCCACTGGGCAGGGATCTTTCCCACTCTGTTCACTGCTGTGTCTCCAGTGCCTAGCATAGTGCTTGGACACAAAGTACGTGCTCAATATACATTTGTTGAAAGAAAAAAGGAATTTTGGCTTCTGAGCTGCAAGATGCTTGGGCCTTATTACCAAAGGCAGATACTCTTACAAGCTGTACCTTTGTGAGCCATGTAAGAAGGATGCCAGAAGCCTGGAGTAGGGAGCACAGCATTCCCATTAGTACCCTGCTCCTCCCTGCCCCCACCCCTCAGTAGGGAGTGGCTGCATTCACCCAGAGAGAGGAGAACAGGGGTCAGGTCCTCAGGATACAGAGACCCTGGGAAAGAAGGAACAGTGGTGCCCAGGCCACGTGCATCAGAATCTTCTGGGGGCTTGTGAAAAACACAGCTTCCCTGTTGAACTGGACCCTCTGGATGTAATGCCCTGAAATCTTCATTTGTTAACCAGCTTTCCAGGCAATTCTGATATGCTTGAGAATCACAGCCTTAGGGCAACTGAGAGGGTCGAGGGATAAAGTAGAGGCAGCCAGCAAGTGGAGACCTAGAGACCTTTTTTTCCCTCAAAAAGTTTGATGCAAAAAATTTAAAGTGCGAAAATACCAAGTGTCGGGGAAGAAATGATGCACCAGAAACACCCATGCGGGGCTGGTGGAGGGTGTAAACTGATACGGCCCTTCTTGAAAAGCTGGGCATACCTTTCACCCGACCATCCCACTCCTGCATACATGTCCACGAGGGAGATGTGTAAAGAATGCTCATGGCACAATGTGCAAACAACTCAAATGCCTACTCACGGGCAGCTGGATGAATAAGATTGCAGGGTATTCATGAACTAGAACACTACAGAGCAGTGCAAAAGAAGGAAACAGACCAGTTCACATCAATAAGGACGAATCTTTCCATGTTGGAGGGAAAAGGCAAACCGCAGAATACAAACTGCATACTTCCAGATCCATGAAGCTTAAAAACATTCTAACTATGTTTACCTATTTTTGTCTGCCGTGCCCTGCTAGAAAATGATGACACATGTGTATATGGTAAAACTACAAAGAAAATCAAGAAATTGATGAACAAAATACATAGGAATGATTGCCTCTGGTGGGGGAGGAGGCGGGGATTAAGGAGGGGCATCTGGGGCATCTAACCAACTGGTCATGTTCTATTTCTTAGCCTGGGTTCTGGTTACGTGTGTTTTGTTTTATTCTTATTCTTTTTACCATACATGCATAAAATGTTTGCAAGTTTTGAATATTTTACTTTTTTTTTTTTTTTTTTTTTTGCAGTACGTGGACCTGTCACTGTTGTGGCCTCTCCCGTTGCGGAGCACAGGCTCCGGACACACAGGCTCAGCGGCCGTGGCTCACGGGCCTAACCACTCCGCGGCATGTGGGATCTTCCCGGACCGGGGCACGCACCCGTGTCCCCTGCATCGGCAGGTGGACTCTCAACCACTGCACCACCAGTGCGCCACCACTTATTTTTAAGTAAACTATTTTGGGAGAGAGATCATTTGCTAGAGAGAGACTTGGAGGCCAAGGAAGATGTTTTTTTTGGTTTTGCCTTTTAAGATGGGAAGGAATAGAGCTTGTTGAACACTACTGGGAAGGAGCGGGGGGAGGCCACATCAGACAGAGTTTAATCAAGGAGAGAGGTCCTCAGGGAAGCGGATGGGATCCAGGACTGAGACTAACATTGAACACAGACAGGAAGAAAGCCATTTTTTCATGGCACCAGCAGGAAAGCAGGAATGGATGAGTAGCAGGTAAGCCTGGAGGCCTAGTAGCAGGAAGCTGGCGGAACTGACATTTGGTGGCTTATATTTTCTCTGCGTGGTGGTAGTGAAGACATCAGTGGCCCAGCCACCAGCCTCAGACCAACACAGCGTGGTGGTATGGTATGATAATATATCTGGTCTTTGTCCCTGATTCCACGCACAGGGTTCCTAAAATCCTTGCAATTTCCTGATAGGAGTGGTTTTTGTTATTCATAATGAGCTCCTTTCCATGATCCCTGAGTTTATGCAAATGAGGCAACTCAAGGCAACTTTCAGCCCCATACCTGACCTCTGCGGAGAAGAGTGGAACCAGAGATTGAGTTCAATCACCAATGGCCAATGATTAATCAATTATGCCTACATAATGAAACCTCCATAAATACCCCTACAGGACAGGGTGTGGAGAACTTCTGGGTTGGTGAACACATCGAGGTGCTAGGAGGGTGACACACCTGGAGAATTCATGGAAGCCCTTCCCCCATACTCTGCCCTATGCACCTCTTCCATTTGGCTGCTCCTCAGTTATATCTTTTATAATAAACTGGTAAGTGTAAGTAAAGCATTTGCCCGAGTTCTGTGACTCGTTCTAGTGAATTATCAAGCCTGAGGAGAGGGGGCATGGGAACCTCCAGATCTACAGCTGGTCAATCAGAAGTGGGGGGCAGTCTTACAGGACTCAGCCCTAAGCTGTGGGGTCTGTACTAACTCCAGGTAGATAGTGTCGGAATTGAATTGTAGGACACCCAGTTGCCGTCAAGAGAGTTGGCTGTTGTCAGAAAGAACTTGGGGAATTTCTGCTGTTTGGGGTTCAGAGATACTCCTAGGGACCTAGCACAGTTTTATCCTGAGATTCAGACATTTATGACCCTACTGGGAATCTGATCACCATTTTCCCACCTACTTCCAAGGAAAAACATGTTTCTGGGTTACAAACTCAGACCCAAACAAACTTCTGGAACATGACCATTCATCCTATGTCCACTAAACGGCCCATGGCTTATGGACATCTATGTGCTCTGCCCCATACTTGTCGCTGGGCTCACCTGGATTTTCAGCCTGAATTTTCTGATGCCAGAGAAAGCTTTAAGTGTGTTCAGAGCTTGGATTTTGACACTGTTGTCCTTGTCATCCAGCATGGAGCCCACCAACGTGATGTCATCATTAGTACATGCAGAGGCCTAGAGTGTGCCAGGAGAGACAGAAGAGGCGGGAGAAGCGGGTGTCCTGGTCCCCCTACCCCCCCATGTCACCAAAACCCCTCAACACAACCCCTCCCACCATCAGCCAGAGAGAGGTCCCAGGACACAGTCTGGCTACTCAAGGGGGAAGGGGGACAGATGTAGCCCCCAGGGGCCAGGCTGGCTGGGGAGGACCTCCTGCTTCCCTTCCCTCACCTCGGACTCCAGCAAGTACACACAGCGCGTGATACTGTGCAGGATCATGCTCTTGGCGTACTCATCCTGTTTGCACTCCAAAGAGTTGAGGAGCCTCCGGAGCTCACCTGAGTCCCGCCCGTGCTGCTCTCGCTCAACTGCCAGGCCTAGACAGCCACCCCAGCCCAGTTCAGGCTGTGGACTCAGAAGTGAGGAAAGACGGGGTTTGGGAGGCCGTGGGAGAGAGGCCTGGGGACAAGGCTGCCTTGCCTTTTCTGAAGAAAAGACTTCTTGCTATATGCAGGACCACCATGTACAGTTGAACAGGGTGTGTATTGCACAAGGGCACCACATCTAAGGCTGTATTGTTCATATCGTAAACAAAAAAATTTTGTATGTTTACTATAACAACTTTCTGGCATATGGCAGTAATATGTAGTATTTCATCATAATTGGTATATGGCAATGATATTCCAGCAGATGGCAATACAAAGTCTTGCAGAAGGGGTTCCTTTCTCTACTTTGCACAAAGTTGTCATAGGGACTAGTGGAGGCTCTGAGAATGTAGGTCCCCCAATTTTCCCTTGGGGAGAACTGCTGATGCAAAGTTTCCAAGCAGTGGCTCCTGGATGCCAGAGTGAATGTAGAATTTAGAAACCTGCCAGATGACTCCCGAGGAGGCACTTGAGTGCCACCCACTACCTGGGGAGCCTGCGCTAGCATCTCTAGGGTGGCTCTGAGGGAGATGGAGGTGAGAAAGGGGAAGGAGAAAGGAACGTGGAGGAGCCCCCTTGGGGCCCTCCCACACGGGAGACCTGGGGAGTAGGTACCTCCTGGGGCCGAGCCCTCTCCCCAGGGTGGGGACACTCACGGGCGACGCAGATGGGTGAGGCAGAGCAGCGTGGTGGTTGACATTTTATGCCCGCCCTGATGGCCTTGTAGAGCAGGCAGATGGCCCCAGCGGCTGTGGCCAGGCTCACTACACCTTTGCAGATGTCCATTTGCCCCAGGCGCTGGGGGATGCAGCACATGCCCGAGGCACCTAGCAAAGGCCTTCTGGAACCAGAACTCTAGCAGGGCCAGGAACCAGGGCACCAGAATCAGAACCTGGGCAACAAAGGAAACTGGGGAAACAGTGGGATGGAGGGTGGTGGTCGGAAACGGGGCAGCCAGGGAGCTTCAGAGGCTGCAGGAAACAAAGCTTAAGACTCCAGAGGAATAAAAGGTCTGTGGGCAGGAAGGTCCTTCACATTCCTCTTTTTTAGGGGAGCCAGGTTGGTGGGGCCCCAGCAGGCAGCTCCAGAGGCTACCTTTCTTCCATTAGATGGCAGCAGAGGCCCAATTTATGGACAGGGGCCTTTAGAAGTTTTTGGGGGGGCGTCGGGGTGTGCCCACTGGCAGCCCTGTTCCCTCACTTCCCTGGTCCCCCCATCTTTGATCTCTTCACCACAGATCCACTTCTGAGCCTTGGGGCGTTTCTGCAGGCAGGGCCCCCCACTTCCATCACAGGACGAAGAGGAGGCAAGTACCTTACAAAGTTCTGCAGAGTCTCGAAGCCAATCCATCATTTTCCAGCATTTGCTTGTTCCTCTCTGTGTATATTTACCTGTTGACCAAAAGCTCCTGAGGGCAGCTGTCTCTGCGTCTCCAACATCCAGCACAGAGTCCTGCACTTAGTAGATGCTCAAGTTATGACTTCTGTCATTCTTTGAGGACTTGAGGAGAGAACACGTCAGAGAATCTGGATACGGGGGCTCCAGGCCCATTTAACCAGTGTGACTCTGGAGGAGAAGGGGACTGCCCTTGCCTTGGCCTCAGTTTCTGTATTTGTAACCTGAGGGGATCCAGGTTTAGCATTCTAAATCTCCAGGGTTAAACCTGGGGTAGGTCTGTGCCATTAAACCATGGAGGCCTAAATCTGGGAGTATCACACCCTATGCCCCACAACATACACACAGGGTGGGATGGGCTTTGAGGCCTCCTCTGGAGTCAGAAAATGCCACCACCTTGGAGGATGAGAACCCAACTTTGGAGGCCTCAGTCTCCACCACCTCCACCACTAGGATGGGGCAGGTGAGACCAGACCCTTCCCTTCTTCTCCTTCCCCCACCCCCAGTGTCCCCACACCCTCTGGTCTCACCTTCCGGTACAGAACAGGGAAGAACCCAAGCCAGGCTCAGACCTAGAGCCAGCACTGAGCAGAGATGTACCAGAACAGGGCTTCAGCTGCCTGGTCTTGAGCTCCTGTTGGATGGCTCTGGGCCCTGGACTGCACCTGGGTTTGCAGGAGGTGGGGAAATAGGGAAACGGCATCCCCAAGGATGCTGCAGCCAGCCAGGTCTGTCCACTCAGAGCCTTCGTCCGTGTCACCCTAGGCTGCAGGCAACACTCCCAGGGGGCCATTCTCTTCCTTTCTTCCCTCCCATCCCCGGCCCTCCTCAAGGGTCATTCCTGGCACTCTACACAGTCCCAAGGTGGATGTATGGTCAGGCCATTCAAGATGGCTGTTCTCTTGCTCTTTGTACATCCTCTGCTCGACCAGTCCGTTCCACCTGTGCCCTACTCACGTGAACATGTTTGCCCCCTGCCCCAGCTAGTGACTGATCTAATCCCTGCTCTACCTGCTAATTTATTAAAGGGAAACATCTGCCCTCGTGATAGTCATTAATCTGAGGGGCTGTGACGGATGTGCCCCAGCTGGTTTCCCTGGTAACTGATAAGCCAACCTGACGTCAATTCTCCCTATAAATAGTAGTCTCCTCTCCCCGAGTAGCAAAGATTGCTGTCATGGTCTGCCTGCCATAGTCGGTGGGGTGTTGCCATGATTGGTGGGTCTTAACCTTTAGCTTAAGACACCCCTGTCCAATAAACCACTGATGTCTTTGTTGCTGTCTCCAGACTCTTCCATCTTGAGGCTGGGCAACTACAAGGCTTTCAGGACTGCACAGTGCAGCCCAACGACTGGGGAGCCAGCCAGGAGGCCGAAGAAGCTACCGAGATGTCGCAAAGTAAGGACAGGGAATGGAAGGTTGCAGGGGTCATCCTGAGGTGGCCGTCCACTAGCCTGTGGGGCCCTGTGGCAGCTGACTACCATGAGAGGTGTCTTTCTCTTCCATTATATTGATTCTCTTCTACTCTGTTAACTTCAGAGCCTCTTTCCAGTTTAAAAGTAGCAGCCCTATGCTGGTGGCTCATCTGACTGCACGGGGATGGCTGGTGAATACAAACCAAACGCAAGGACCTGGATTATCAACAAAAGACAAGCGTACCCCCAGCCTCTTACCCCTAAACAATTAGACACAGGCTTTAGAGGATATTAATTCAGGGACAGTCTTGTGAATTGGACATGGCCAGTTACCTGGAAAAGTTTGGTTGGGGCCTGTGCTACAACAAAATAAGAGTACCCTTGGGCTTCTGACGCCTGCTATGGAAGCGGGCAGAGCAATGATATACAGCATGATGGAACAACAGCTATATGCAGCTTACAACAGGTGGAAGACATTACAAAAGGCCTACCCGAGTCATCTAGCGATGAAAAAAAACACTATTTGGGGTCTAGTACAGCTGTGTGTGATATACAGGACCCCACGGACATCAATAGTGACAAAGGAATCCACTTTACCAGTCATGAAGTTCAGGAATGGGCGGCTAAAAATGACACACACTGGCATTTCCACCTGCCTTACGACCCCACTGCTGCCGGGCTAATGGAAAGGATGAAAGGATTACTTAACAATTGAGACGAAAACCCGCTCTCTCAACAGGTGGACCAGAGGTTCACTCAAGCTCTATGAACTGTAGCTGAACACCCCAGGAGCAATCATCCCAGGGCCATGTTAACCCAGAGGCAACTAGTCAATACAATCCAAGTTCAACTGTTGACCACCGAAAGACCGCTGCCAACTATCTCTCAGGACAGTAACTCACTTTTGCCTTCGCTACCTTCGCTACAGGATCTACCCCCAGAGGAACACACTCTCAAATGGTCCTGGGACTGGCAGGTAAGTCTCCGGTGGTTTGGGTTTGCTGTCCCATGGGGAATAGGATTGGAAAGGGATTTACAGATTTCACCTGGTTTATACCCGGCCCCACCTAAGACTAATAAGGTAATTAATCCAGGCTCCCACTGGAGAAAGGCACCATTATATTAACCCTGTGGGCTGTTCTTATACCGCCTCACCGGCATGAATTCGGCACCGTGAATGTCTCTGTTGCTGTTCCGGGCTCTTTCTTCAGTCTAAGGCTGGGCAACTATAAGGTTTACAGGCCTGCAGGGTGCAGCCCAACAGTGGGTGACTACACGGACTCCCTGTAGTGAAGGGTGACAGAGGCCCCTGGAGGCCCCCCCCCCTCACTACCATGGGACCACCTATCAAACTCCATGAACTCCAGGCAGGAAATGGCTGCCTGAAGGGACTGTTTTAGGTTCCAGCTCCCCTGGTAGATCTGAGGATTGGTCCTTTTCTGAGGCGGAACCCAGAGCTACTGGCCTCCCCAGTCCATGTAGCTGATCCTGCAACCCTCACATTCTAAGCAAATGCAGTACTCACCTGCTCTTTAAAATCTCCAAAGAAGGAGAGTTCTTTCTTGGCTCTAACCTAACTCCCTCCTGCTATATATACCTAAGCCCATTCCTTTGGGTTCTGCCCTCAAATGTTTTGGATGCATTAGAAGCAGAGGCATCCTCAGTGTGACATTTTTGCTAGTCCACAGCACGATTTTAAAAGAAGAGGAATGTGTATTCATTGGTGGAAAGTCAAGGACTGTCCTTTCTTGGGAGTAACTGCTTTTGGTTTTTGTTTTAAACTTATTTTTGGCTGTGCGGGGTCGCGGGCTTCTCTAGTTGAGGTGACTGGGGGCTACTCTTCATTGTGGTGCGCGGGCTTCCCATTGTGGTGGCTTCTTATTGCTTCTTCTTGCAGAGCACAGGCTCTAAGCACGCAGGCTTCAGTAGTTGTGGCTCGCGGGCTCTAGAGCGCAGGCTCAGTAGGCATGCCCACGGGCTTAGTTGCTCCGCGGCATATGGGATCTTCCCGGCCTAGGGCTCGAACCCGTGTCCCCTGCAATGGCAGGCGGATTCTTAACCACTGCACCACCAGGGAAGCTCCCGGGAGTATCCGCTTTTGATTCAGATGATGTCTGTTTTCTTTTGAGGAGAATTTAAATGCACTTGCTTTTGTGAAATGATGGTGACAACAGATGATAGTAAATGTTCTTAGGGAGCATAAATGAAGGCTGCAGCTCTGTGAGAACTTGGATTTTGTTTTTCTTGTTTTTTTGTCATATTCAAAAATTTGGAATATTGGCTCGAGAGAAGTCAGATTCCATATGCACACAGCCAACCCTAAGTTTCTTACCCACCCTCACCAAGGCAAAAGGACATGGGCTGCCCTAGTACACACCTCTCTGCCATCTGCACCAGCTTTTCTACCTTTAAGGCTGATGTTCCCATCGTGTTAGGTGCAGTTTATTTAGTGAGTGAGACTGTGGGCTCAACCCAGACTGCCAGGGTTCAAAACCAGCTCAGCTGCTGACCTAGCTTTGTAATCTTTTTGTGCCTCGTTTTCCCCACCTGTAAAATGGGAATAATAATACCTACTTCTTGGGTTTGAGAGGATTAAGTACTTGGAACAGTGCCCATCACACAGAGCTCACCAAACGTGACAATAATTACTATTATAAGCAGGCTTCACCTGGACAAAAACGTTGGGCATGGCAAGGCAGTGAGCACACAGATGGTGGGCCTCTGTGAGGCCTGAAAGGCACATTATTCAGCCCCTTCCATTCACCCTCTACCCCTCCCACTCTGGTCGTCTTCAAGCTAATCAATCTCAACTCCTGTAACCCATTTACTTGCCTTGAACAACTCTGGAGCCCTCTTTGAACCCCCCTCCCCCACCAAATTCCTAAACCAGGAGCGCTACGGGGATCCAGCCCGTTCCCCTGAGCTACTTTGTTCCTACAAACCATCCTCCCACCTGTAAAACCCTCAGACTACCTGCTTATTCTATCAGGACTCTGGTAATGGGTGTTTCAGCCTAGTTAATTAGAGGAGCCTAACACGCTATTGGGGACCTACTGTGCAAGCAGGCCGTTAAGGAGGGGGACCCCGGAGGAGCCCGGCGCTTGCATGCACAGGAGAAGCTAAGGGTAAATTAGCCTACTCTCGAATGAAAAGCCCGTTGGAGTCCGACGAGCTTGGGTTTGGGCAAGTTCCATGATCTGAGTCTCAGTTTACTCCTCCGGAAAACCTGCCTACTACACGGAAGTGCGCTGTCAGAACTGAATGAGAGAATGTACGCTGTGACTCTCGGTGAACAGCGGAAGCGCAGCACGTGCGAGCTGCCCCAGCAGAAAGCCAGAAAGCCGAGAGATGAAAGTCTGGGGGACAGCCCGTGCCCTGACAGGGATCCCACGCTCTCCGGGACCGTGCCCTCCCCAACTCGTGCTTACCCCGGCCCAGGACCAGACTGGGGGGCCTCTCGGTAGCTCGCGACTCCAGCGAAGGAGTGGGGACTGGAAGAAACGCGGCAAACCCGGGGAGCGGAGGGGGCGGCGCCCTCACAGAACGATTTCCGAGTGTGGGGCGGAGGCCGCGCCTTTCCCCGCCCCGAGCCTCCCCCCATCTTGCCTTCCCTCCCCGGACTACTCCCCGCCCCCCGCCCCCCGCCCCTCCCCCCTCCCCCCGGCGCATCCGGCGGCGGGCACAGGATGTTCTTTCGCTCCGGTCCCCCCCGCCCCCGCCCCCGCTCTCACTTTCCCTTCGCTCCCATCCCCCACTCCCGCCGCGCCCGGCGCCTGCACCTTGTTTAACTCCTTCTCTCCCGCGCTCCGCGGGGCTCGGCGCGCCCTGGGGTCCCACCCTTCCCGCCCACCCCCAGGACACGGAGCACGCCCGAGGGCTGCCCGGGAAGAAGCGGGCCTAGGCTGAGCGCTGGGCCTCGGTTCTCCGGATCCACTGGCCTGTCGGGGGTGAAGGGGTGAAGAGTGATCCCAGGAACTGAAGCCGGCGTTCTCCGGACCCCGCCAGCTCACCGGTGCCGGGTGGGCTGGGGATTGGGTGCCCGCAATCCGGCGAGTCCCGCGCCCGAGAGGGGGACCAGATGGACAGGGTTAGTTCCAGGCCCGGAGTGGATCAGCAGGGTCGAGGACCCCAACCTCATCCTCCCCCCGGGTTGGGATAAGAAGGGGCCCGGGTCTCCGCGAGAGGATGGAGAGAGGTCACGCCCCTCACGTATACGTCACTGTTTCCAAGGCAACCAGGGGCGGGAACGCGGGCTGGAGAAGGCGAGACCTTAGCGAAAGGAGGCTGCTAGAGACTTTGTGACAGGGGTGCGGGTGGGGAGGCGGCGTGGGCGGCCTTGTCAATCTTTGCTTCTTCACTCGCTGATGCACCAAGAAGCTAAGGGCAGGACAGGTTCCGTTCACTCGTTCATTCGACAGACGTTCATTCAGCTTGAACTATGCTTGGCGCCATGCTTAGGCACTGGGTTCTGGCGGCGCTGGATCCGAACCCTGCACTCACCGGTTATTGTGAGTTAGTGTAGGGTGGCCATGCATTCCGGGTTACGTCCGTGGAACTGGTGTAAGTGTTAATAGTGTCCTTGTACTCGCTTAGAAATGTCTTAGTGGTGGGGGCGGTAGTTAAGGAACCCTGTCCCCCAATTCAAGGAAAGCTCCCACGGCGCAGGTAAGGAAGACAAGCTATTGTCTGCTCACTTTGCAACGAGCACTTTTGTAGTCTCTGTAATCTTTGCCTCTCATTCCGCAAGGTAAGTATCTGTAGCACCTTTTACAGGTGGAGAAACTGGCTCCAAAAAGTTGAGACTTGCCCAAGACCAAACAGCTAAGTGCTGGAACCAGGATCCAGACCCAAGTCTATGTGGCTTCCAAAATCCAAGTGCCCTATCTTATTCTTGCTTCTCAAAACAGATGATATTAAGTAAGTAAATAAATAACACTGTCCCTGCCATGAAGGAGCTTATAATCTTTGGGGATGAAAATACTACAGGACATAATGAAGCAATAAAATATAGGAAAGAATGAAGGCAGCTCATGAGGCTCAGAGGGAAGTTGATGACAACACGATCCAAGTGGGGTGGAGATTATCAGACTTTGAGCTGGGTTATGAGGTGTGATGGGGCCAGGATCACTGGGCGTGTGTGTGTGTGTGTGTGTGTGTGTGAGAGAGAGAGTGTGAGTGTGTGAGATGTGGTGCCAAAAAAGAACAACCTAAGGGCATCAGAGTAGCGACCCAGAGCTAGGCAGGCTGAAATCTCCAGTAACAAGATCCCTCTGTAAACCCCAAAGCCACTGGTTGCACCCACTCTTCTCTGCCCTCCACCCTCCTCGGTGGTGTTCTGTTTCTTGCTGGTTCCCAGCAGGCAGCTACCCTCATTCCACTTGACACTCAAGGTCTTTGCAGTTAGTATTTGGCACAAACCCCGATGTTAATTTGGACGTCAGCTTCTCTCTTCCCCACTCCTTTCTGAAGATTATGGGAAATTTTAAAACCAGGGCTGGGACTTCCCTGGTGGTCCAGTGGTTAAGACTCAGTGCTTCCACTGCAGGGGGCGCAAGTTCCATCCGATCCCGGTTGGGAAACTAAGATCCCGCATGCTGCGCGGTGTGGCCAAAAACAAAAACTGGGGCTGTTCAAAACAAAAGGGCCTGCGTAAGTATCAGGAAGCCAATAGGCTTCATGAGAATGGGGACACCAAGCCAGGAAAGAGAACTGGGCGGAGAGCAAGGAGCACAACCAAATGGATCGGACAGTTGATGAACATTGGCTCCCCTCCTGCTATGCATCAGGCCCTGTGCTGGACTCTGGGGTCTGGGTACACCATGAATGAGTGTGGGCCCCTTCATATGGAACACACAGGTTAGCAGCTGGTGTACCCAGTGTGCTTGGTTGAGGAGTCTGAAGTTGATAACACACACAATAAACAGTGTTTGAGAAAGATAATTCCAGCAGGGTGTGTAGGAGGAAGGAAAAACCTGGGTCAGAAAGGACAGTGTGGCAGTGACTGTGGGAATTTGGGCCAAAGGTGGAATCTAGGGGTTGGAAAGGAAGGGTAAGTGAAGAAAGTAACAAATAATACATGTTGTAATAAAAGCAAGAAAGGGAAGAATTTGGTAATAGATCAGATATAGGATGGTGAAGGAGGGAAAATAGTTAAGAATTAATCCTCCTTCATGGTGAGTTTGAGGGGTGGGAGGGTCACCGTGGGAAAGGGGGTGGAGCTGGTATGAGGGACCTGAGGGTGAGATCAGTCACTCCTAGGCCATGTGAGGGCAGGTATCCTGTAGGTGACTGGACTTGGAGACAGGGAAGACCTGAAGGGTAGTGGCCGCCTTGTATAAAAGTGTCCCCGTCACTATGGGTATGCAAACAGCTTCAGAACACTGGCCTGGGATATTGTGGACAGATTTCATACATCAGGTAGAAAGCTGGAGTCAACAACAGTGAAAGTGGCTTCTGCCTGAGGGATTTGGTGAGCGTTGGCTGGGTGAGCACATGTGTGGGAAGTATGCCTGTATGTGTGGGAAGAAGGTTGGCAACTGTCTCCTCAATTTTGGCTAAAGAAGGGGCCAGTGATGCCTGGGAAGCGGGGGCTGAGGCCCAGGTGAGGCACTTCAGCAGCCTGGGATCCCTCCCCCAGCTCCACCTTGGGAGGCCCTGGAGCCCAGGACTGTGCTGCCTGCCAGGCCTTTCCTGGAACTTGGCAGAGGAGGGAGCCCCTCCCTGCCTGCCCTGGCACACTCCAGGCACACGGTGTCCCCAGGGGCACCTTGCAGACACCCCAGGAGACTGGGGCATGGGACAGGTCCCCACCCTCGCAGGAAGAGTCCTGCTCTGGGCTGACATCTGAGCTCCCCGCC